TGTTTCTATGTATATGTTTTAAATGTCTTGTCCAGAAGGACTATGGGACATGGAGATCTTTGGAATCAGGTATCATCATCATCAATAATTACCTGTTCGTCACACTCAGGAAATTACTTTCCCCCTGTGCCGCACCTGCTTAAATCTAAATTATAGATGGGGGGCCACAACAGAAACTGAGACTCATTGTCTCCAAGGTAGCCAACTGAAGGCATCATATGACCTGGCCAGGTAAATAATAGGGCAGAGTTGAGGCCGAGCAGTTAGGCCTTAACTGAGAAGCTTTCAGAGTTAAAGAATACAATCAATGTTTTGTTTTCAATATATTATGTTTTGTAAAAATAATGAATTGGAAATAATTGATTATGAAAGTACAGTAGTAGGGTACATGTGTCTGTCATTTATCAGAATTAGACTGGTTTGATTTAATTTTTTTCTTTGGCTGACTATTTCATGTAATGTTAAAAAAAGTAGTTTAACACTGCACAGTTCTTTTTAAATTATTATTTACATAAAATACAGATATTTGATACAGAAAAATTGTATCAAAGTTATGTGTATGTTAACATTACAGTGGCATACAGGAAAATAACTGCATAAATAACTTTGATACTGTTTCCATACATTATTTACATTTGCATGTTTCCATTTCAGTGGTGTAAGAAAAGATAACACACTATAAAGTTTTCGTTTGTTTTACATAAACACTATCAAAGTTATTTAATTTACATGTTTACAGAAACATTGTATAAAAGTTACATAGGTACATTTATCTATTTGATCCAGTGTTTCTGTAAAAATATAAACAACTTTATAAAACTTTTCCTGTACACCACTGTTAACATAAATAACTAGGTATAGAAACACAGTATCAAAGTTATTTATATCTACATTTGCATAACGGTGGCATACAAGAAAAGGTTTATAAAATATTTTACGTTTACAGAGACACTATGAGTTATTTATATTTACATGCTTGCAGAAACACAGTATCAAAGTTATTTATATTTACGTTTATATAGTGGCATACAAGAAAAGGTTTATAAAATATTTTATATGTTTACAGAAACACTATGAAAGTTATTTATATTTACATGCTTGCAGAAACATAGTATCAAAGTTATTTATATTTGCATGTTTATTTGTATCTATACATTTACATTAAAGTCCTTTGATATCTATCCTCCAACAGCAAGTGTTTTGTCTGGTCTTTAATCATTTGCCCATGCTTTTAACAAGGGGCCATTCTGATAGTTTATAAGGAGGCAAGCAACAGTGTATAGCTGGTTGATGGTCCTGGTGTCGCAGAGAGGAATGACCGTATCCAACAGCTTGTGTTGCTTCACCCTGCCGACAAGACGCTCCATGTGGACCCTGAGCTGAGCAATGGACTGAGTTTCCCTCACTTCCTCAGCCGGCATCTGTTCCTTCTTTAGCAGACAAGAAGGTCGGTAAACTTTGCACGGTACACAGTTGTCTATAAAAAACCCTTTGTTGACCATAATGGCCATTTCAGGTTTCAGGAGTGACACAATCCCAGACTGCTTCAGAAGCTCCTCGTCACTTACTGCATACACGGATGACACAAAAGTGACTGCACCATGCGGTGCCATGCCAATTAAACCCTTGTAGGTGCAATGGGACCCTTCACCTTGAAGCAGAAGAGAGGTTGGTGTTTTGCAACGCAGCTCTATGCAGTCTATCACAACATGTGTGTCTGGATAGTCCTGAAACTCCTTTGGCATGTGAGCCTTGACCGCCTCTTCAGACATCCAGATGCGCACAGATCCAAGAATGGCATAGAGAAAATTGGTCCAGCTTGTAATGATTGGACTCACGGCAGACTGATGGATATTGAATCTGTGGGCTAGATCTCTCTCTGTTAGACCAACTGAGAGATGGACCATGAAGAGGAAAAACTCATCTATGGGCTGCACGGACTGACACTGTTAACAAAATTGTGAAAGTTTTTGTTTAATACATATAATGCGTTTATGTAGAAAAAGTAATATTGGTAGAATAAACTTTTCTGTCTCTCTTCCTCCCACAAAAAATCTGTATGTAACAACATCATAAGTTAATTTTAGATGACCTATAAATGAATTATTTACAGATGTACTGCCTGATGCTCCAGCTTCGCTCATTGTAGCTGTCCTGACTCTGATCAAACGAAACATGTTGTGGGACGCGGGCTCAATGAGTCTCCAGAACGCCAGCAAGTGGTTGTAAGTTGCAAACCTATAAGAAATGTGGGACGTTTGAGATAATATACACAACAACAAATGTGATGATCAACTACCAAGTTGTAGCTTATTTTTTATTTACAGTGTACTAAAATATAAGTCTTGTAAACCCTCGTTTAAAAAAAAAGT